AAAAAAATATAACCAAGTTGTTTGGGTTCATGCCTCAACTTGTTACTTGGAGCATAAACCCAACAAATTTGGGTTCATGTCTGAAGTAACACGAACAATACTTATGACGGCCAACATCTTTGACATAATCTTCGAAGACGTTGGCCGCCATAACTATTGTTCGTAATACTTGGGGCGGCCGAGATTTTTTCAAAGATGTCGGCCGTCATAAGTATTGTTCGTGTTACTTGGGATATGAACCCAAGTTAGTTGGGTTGATGCCCCAAGTTGTTACTTAGAGTCCAACGTCGGCATGAACCCAAGTTACTTGGTATCAAGTACTTGGTTGCTACAAAAACTTAGGTATCATGAACAATACTTATACACGGCCGCCATAAATATTGTTAGTGATTTACAGTATAAAGCATGTCCAAAGAAAGTTGCTACAATTTCCTGTTCCATATTGTATCTTGAGATAGAATACAAAAATTTAGTTGATTAAAAATCTACAATGTTTTACAAATAGAAACTTTACAGTACTCCATTAAATCTGAAATGAAACCAGTCACAAATAATCAACTATAACAAGACAGTTACAGTACAACAATAAAAGTGAATTGTGAAATTGAAATAGGAAACAAGTTTGTTTAAAATTGGCTCGCAGACGATCCGTTGTAGTTATTGAATAGAAACCGTCGGAAACACCCGTAACACTTTAAGCGAATTCGATGACCCACTTACTTCAACCTCACAAAATAACCGCCCCATCATACAACTTTCTAACCACCACAAAAAGTTATAAAAAACTGGTAAAGTTGGTCACGGACGCGTTCGTTTTTCCCCCCATTACAAAAGTTAGTTTACCGCAATTTCTAAACTTTGGGCCGCATTAATCCTTCCGATTTGTTTTATGCAGTTTTCCCCAAACCATAATTTGCCAAAGACACCCCCGCGACGGGTGATTTACAACGCCAGGGAGATACTTTCGCTTTCACGGTCGAAAACCGCCGGAAAGTTCGTGAAACCGAGGGCGCGGATGGGGGTTTAAAGGGGGTTGAGTTTGAGGGTTTGTGTACTAGGAGTCGGGAAGGAATTGTTTATTAAATTTCAAGGTGATTGATGCGTCGGCCATTATCTGAGCGAGCCGTGTTTAAACTTGATGGATTGCGAGACTGATCCTCGTCGCAATCCCAAAACCTACAGACCCAGAAAATAAACGGATTTGGTTTTCTTATGGTTTTATTAAATATTGAATAAAATTATTGGTTTATTTTCATCTCCCATCGATAGTAACAGAGCGAGCGAGTTCTATTTTGGTCCATAGTGCGCCGTTGCCCGTAACCTGTCGATAATTTACAGAAAACAACAACGGTGTTTATAATAAATTTTTATGGCGCCACCGAAGGCCGCTTGCCCATCGGACCCTCTCCCTTAATTCTTTTTACAAAAACTCCAAAAATACACGGTTTACAATCAAAAAGAAATTTCACCCCAAATTGAATTTGATTCGAATTACGTGAGTTGCTTTCAACTGATTACCTGCATGCAACAGGAAGGATACGTCTAAATCAGTTTTACGGTTTGAACGGTGTTAACGTTTGTTAACGAGACTTGATTGCACCGATAACGTTTACCTATTAAAGGGAATCGGTTTAAATTGAAACAGAGTTTTCAACGTTAAACTGTCCGGGTATTATTGGTATTATGCACGTTTTCAAACTTTATCCATAAATGTGCAACGCCCCAGGATTATTAAACCCTACTCGACCTAAGACTCTGCCAGCTATAATTTTGCATTCCCAACCCGTTTCTAATTAGGTTGCGTTACATCGCTGTTAAGCTTAATGAATGGACTTTACAAGAAGATACTCTAGAAGAGATCGTAAACAAGATGCAAACCAAAAGTAATATAATAAAGAGCAGCGAGTTAATAGAGTTTTCCAGTTTTGTTTCATAGTTTTAATTAGATTATTACTTTGTATTTTAAGTAGTTTTCATAATTTCAGAAAATTGTTTCTTCATCTTTAATTTTTCTGCTACTAACTCAACAATACTTTTTATTTGTCTTATTTTATTCATAACCGAACCATATACTAGGTAATTTTAGACCCAGAAAGCATTTACAAACACTAACAAACAATATACAGCCTTATATCCAGCGTTTGTTGGCTATAAGGCAGTGTGTTAACCGATGATTTATTCATTTTAAAGATAACGATTTTGTGTTGATGTATCAGATGCAGCACCTCGCCCGCAAGGGACCTTGGCGATCTTAGATGGTATCATTCATTTGATATCAAAGAACTCATTCACATTTTGTACATTAAAATAATGTACTAGAATTATTGAAGAAGAGCGACACATTTTAGAAATAATAAACACTAACAAACAATATACAGCCTTATATCCAGCGTTTGTTGGCTATAAGGCAGTGTGTTAACCGATGATTTATTCATTTTAAAGATAACGATTTTGTGTTGATGTATCAGATGCAGCACCTCGCCCGCAAGGGACCTTGGCGATCTTAGATGGTATCGTTCATTTGATATCAAAGAACTCATTCACATTTTGTACATTAAAATGATGTACTAGAATTATTGAAGAAGAGCGACACATTTTAGAAATAATAAACACTAACAAACAATATACAGCCTTATATCCAGCGTTTGTTGGCTATAAGGCAGTGTGTTAACCGATGATTTATTCATTTTAAAGATAACGATTTTGTGTTGATGTATCAGATGCAGCACCTCGCCCGCAAGGGACCTTGGCGATCTTAGATGGTATCGTTCATTTGATATCAAAGAACTCATTCACATTTTGTACATTAAAATGATGTACTAGAATTATTGAAGAAGAGCGACACATTTTAGAAATAATAAACGCTAACAAACAATATACAGCCTTATATCCAGCGTTTGTTGGCTATAAGACAGTGTGTTATATGATTTTGTGTTGATGTATCCCACGTCTTCGATGTCGGCTTAGGTTAGTTCTTGCACCCATTTGAAGCGAGATACACACGTAACATGTTATGTATTAGGATTTACGGAGTTTTGGTGTTGCCAACATTATGAACTGCAAGAAATGTCTGGATGCACTGGGCAAATATTTAGGATTTATGCTAACTAATCTCCCATTCGAAGACGTCGGCCGCTTCCAAATATTCCGAACACAGAACCATGGTAATACTAAAAAGTAGTATTTTCCAGCCAAATTCAAGTTTAACATCACATCTATGCTTAGGTTGGAGAATCATTTCGCTTGATTATTGTGGAAATCATTCAATAAATTAATTTTTATATTAAAATGTATTATTGATTCGTGTTCTACATAAAAATATTTAATTCAAACCCAAACTGGAAATAGTAAATTTTATAAATATATAGTTGGAAGCAATAATTTACAAATATTTTTGCAAAATTATTTACAAAAAATGTCGTAACAACACGTTTTGAGAAAATTTATGTCTGACACCGCCATATATTAATATAAAAAGTTATTTACATCGGTGAATTAGTGTCTTGACACAAATTGTATGCAATAAGTGTCACATGTAAACCTACCGTAATATACGGTAGTGTCAGTCATAAATTATTTGGTATAAGTGTCAAATATAAACCTAGCAGTGCGAAATAATCCGATTATATACTGTAAACAATCACTTGAACAAATTAAACAAAAAAATAATATTTATAAGGTTCCTTGAGGTTAAATAGATTGTCGTTTGCAAAACAACTATAAATTATGTCGGATCGATATTAACATTATGATGCCGTGCTGTTGGTTAATCGGGGTGCGAACACAAAGGTGTATTTAGCCGGTTTGGAGAGTCGGGACGCAAACGGCGTTGCAACGACCTAAGCTCCGGCCGGAACTCGTAAATGTCACCGCGTGCTTCTTTGCCGGTCCAATAAAACTTGCAAATGACACCCCTATTAATAATACTGGTCCGTATTTTTTTACCTTTAGACTACTTTTTTCCGGCGATATCAATGCGGGACTTCACATAATCTCAGTTGATATATAGCACCCCCCTCGGAGCAAAATCGATCGGTTGGGGGTGTCGTATAAATCTCTTTTCTTCCTCTCCCCACCCGGTAGATAAATAAGTATAAAACATTTTTCGAGTTCATAAAGTAAATTTAAAAAGTATTTTTAACTAATCATCGGACCCACAATAAGTTTGTTTTAGCAACGATTGGAAACAATTATAGCCTGCGTTGTAAGTATGCAACCAATATCACAGTATAGGTATTGCAATACGCGATTTGCAATATTGGTTGTATACTTGCAATGATAATTAATTAACACACTATATATTTAATAGTTTCCAATCGGTTTTTATTGTGGCTAAAACAAGCCTAATACTATTTCCGATGATAATTGTTAACTCGTAATGTTTATAAAAATCTTACCGAAATCCAATTCGTAGGTTTCAGTAACAGGTGAAGAATCTGGAACAAAATAATAATTTTAAATTTTTTTTACAATTTTTCTTAATGTTTAATAAATTTTTGTCGGCGTCGCGACATTCCCTTGACATTTAAAATTTCCCACCGAAGTCGGCGTAAGTATGATAGATACGAGACAGGCCGAAGTCACGGGGTTCCCTTCGGTTCCTCATTAATTTATTAGACACCGGACGTAACGATATTTGCGCTCCATTATCGTTAAAAAGTTTTCCCATAAACGGCGCTTTTATTTCCATGGCCCCTCCTCATCGCAAACCGGCGGAATACTTAGATTTCATTAATACAAAATGAAGTGGGTAGTATAAAATTTTATTGCTCCCTTGGGAATGGAAGGAGGATGTGAGACAGTTTTATTTTTACTTAGGATCCAGCTTAGGAACTTTTCAAACGATGAAAGGAAATACATTAATATAATTAGGTTCAAGTATTTCTCATTTCTCTTACTTTATTCCATTTGACTCAATAAATGTCACTCTTAAACATACAAAAAAAATGTTGGAGTACAAATTTAAAGTGAAAATTAGTTCAGTTAGGGAGAGCTTTTATCGATAATTTTGAAACTGAACGAAAGCAGTAAACAATTAGGGATGCAAATTCGACGAAAAGAGAATAAAAACATGAAAAGAAAGAGTTGGATGAAGCCGTCGACCGAGGGTTTAAGCCTCGTGGGTAAAAACGTCGAACCGTAACAACCGATGGCAGATAGAGAAGAGGTATCCTGAATTATACAGCGTTTCAATTACCGTAATCAGCGGGATATATCGTGTAACTTTGAGGTAGACTTAATCGGATGGAGACTAGTTACTCTATTATACATATATACGTTGGGTCATTGATTTGTTATCGTTCGAGGTCGATACCTTCGAAGATTAACCGATTTTATTCATATCAAGTCCAACTTTCACAACATTGTATCAATTTTTTTCTGTCCTAAAGACCAATTTGTGCGAATTTCGGATTTCGATCGATATTAATCCATTTTAGTAGTGATCTGGTTGAGAGCCGCGCCTCTGTTTGATGAACGTTTAACTCGCACGTTAATGCAAATTCGACGGGGTCGCATTATTATTAATCAGTTTATTAAACTGAAATATTTATGTCCGGTCAACTTTTAGCTGAACGTTAAACGAACGTGGTCGATACTCGTTAAAATCGGCTACCGGTTGCCAACGGTAATTAAAATGTTTTATTGCGTTCGTAATAAAACATACTTATTGCTCCTATATTTTAACAGTTAATAATTTTACTTTACAAGAACTAATATTTCCAAAAATAAACAAGTACAGAATTGTAGAGTTCAAACAGAATTTTTTACTACGCTGATATTTTGGCAAAATGTTGCGCATTCGCAAAAGTCTTTTTGGAATTTGCACATAAAAGAGTTGTGATTAATCATGGATATTTTTGTGATACTTGAGGCTCGACTAACACGCAATTCAAAAAGGCTTAGCAGACCTGCTCCTAGTAATAATATCCCTATATATAGCTAGCTACAGCCTTAGCTGTATACCCACACTATGGAGGAAAGTCATTGATCCACTCCACCTTAGCCAACATGCTTACCACAAAGGAAAATCAACAATTACTGCTCTCCATGCTTTGACTAACACTTTAGAGGAGGCAATTGCAACCAAAGAGATAGCTAGAGTGCTTTCATAGACATAGAGGGTGCGTTTGATAACACCTCCTATGAATCCATAGAGAAGGCTAAGATATACATCCGTCGAAAATCAAGATCATCAGATATACATCTTTTAGGAAGGAACTGGGGTCTCAATCCACGAATGAGTCCATTGGACCTACGTAGCAATAATCAGCCCCTTGGTCGCCTAGGCCTCATTGGTTTGGTGGCCAAAACCAAAACATAAGACAGCACAACAACAAAAGTCTTTTTGGAATTTGGACATAAAAGAGTTGTGATTAATCATGGATATTTTTGTGATACTTGAGCCTCGACTAACACGCAATTCAAAAAGGCTTAGCAGACCTGCTCCTAGTAATAATATCCCTATATATAGCTAGCTACAGCCTTAGCTGTATACCCACACTATGGAGGAAAGTCATTGATCCACTCCACCTTAGCCAACATGCTTACCACAAAGGAAAATCAACAATTACTGCTCTCCATGCTTTGACTAACACTTTAGAGGAGGCAATTGCAACCAAAGAGATAGCTAGAGTGCTTTCATAGACATAGAGGGTGCGTTTGATAACACCTCCTATGAATCCATAGAGAAGGCTAAGATATACATCCGTCGAAAATCAAGATCATCAGATATACATCTTTTAGGAAGGAACTGGGGTCTCAATCCACGAATGAGTCCATTGGACCTACGTAGCAATAATCAGCCCCTTGGTCGCCTAGGCCTCATTGGTTTGGTGGCCAAAAACAAAACATAAGACAGCACAACAACAGTTGGCACAAATCCAGCGGTTAGCATGTCTTAACATAACGGGTGCAATGAGATCCTGTCCGACGGTTGCTTTGGAAGCCCTACTCAAAAGGAGGCAGATTCAAGTGCCTTACCACTGAAAACAGTTTTTTCACTCAAGTTGATAAGCTGCACAATCAGGTATTCTAATCTGCAAGAAAATGTCTAAACTCCTAGAAGAGTCTAAAATTGCACTGGTTGATTATGCTTTAATTAATTAATCTCCAATTTCACTTTCATTTATGCCAGTATGACTTAGGCTCGATTCACACGCAATATAGTCTGTATTAGGGTTGGCCAAATTTTAAACTCCTAGCTTTTTGTACTCTGCAAAGTACAAACTCATCTAAGCTTTGTAATCATTTTTAATTTTGTTCCTGATAAAATTATTTATTTTAGATTGTACAAGTTTCGTCGGGTAGCCATCACCAGGAGGAGTTTTGTAAAAATGAAAGTTAAAAAGTAATGTGAATAAATTTGAAATTTAAAGATAATTTTTAAGAAAAAGCTTTATCCAGGCGAATTTAATTGTTATAAATCGGTAGTAGAGAGGTTAGAGTAAAGACGGTATCCAGTTAGATTTATGGTAAAACGGTTTTGGGTTTTTCGCGAAATGAATAATAGTAAACGGGCGGCGAAAAAGCGCTGCAAACCGAGCGGGGATTATGTGAAGTGGGTAATATGTCTAGGATATCTTCGTGTTTCGAGGGATACTGCAAGTAGTATGAATAATGTAAAATTCTCAGCTCGGCGTCACTCTACTTTACATGCATGTATACTAACATCTCGCCCGGTATTTACATACACTTTTAATACGTCTCCTTTAGCCGACTTATGAATTATAGATCGTCGAACCTTGAAACGTTCTGCCCCTTATGATTCGAACGAGAAAGACTTTATTTAACGGTTTCTGGGACTGCTTTTGGGTCATTCGTTTGGGGGAGCTGCTAGCTGGTGTGTTGTTTCATACTAGGGAGCTTTTCTCGTTTATGTTACCTCAGACGTTTAATGTCGACGCGGTCCGAAGTTTCGCGTAAAACAACTGCAGACTTGGAGTTTCTTCGCGGCTAAATTATTATTTGATTACAAAAGGCTTTCCGCCGCTTTATGGAACCGGGTTTGTTTTACAATTCCGCCTTCGCGCGAGCTATTCTCTCGTCCCGCGATGCCGTTCGTCGTAAAAGTATGAATTCTATGGTACGTTCTTTCCCTCCCGGACCAACCCTCTCGTCTTATTAGTTTCGGCGTAAACAGCCTCGAAATGAACTGCCGTTTAAAGCGGCCGGTTTAAGCTTCGAAATCCCGCGAAATGGCACTCTTCGAATTAAACCCATATTAAATACTGCTTTACTAACAAATGAGAAATAAATGTACTAAACATGGTGCCTCGAATTTCTTCCACCCTCATTATAAAAGAATAAATGCGAAAATGTTCCCGTTAATCTCAGCTAAAACCTCACATTTATCTGGGCAGCAATTTGTACTATACACTTAAGGCTCGCCGTACTAAAGCCAAGGGATAATTAATCTCTAAATAAATACGTCTTCTCTACTCTCATCAACCCCGCTGGCCCGTTCTTAATCCTCCTTTTCTTTGATTTCGTCTTGCTACGATTAGATCTTTAGAAACTAATTGAATTTAGATGAAACTTATAAATAAACAACCTTTATTTTGTATACAGTGTGTTAATTAATTATCGTACCCGACGTCGTCATTGCAAGTATGCAACCAATATCACACTACTAATATTACAATACGCGATTTGCGTATGATGCGTATTGTACTGTGATATTGGTTGCATACTTGCAATGATGACGTCGAGTACAATAATATGTATGTCAAATAAATGATTTATATATTTCTTATATTTAAAAATTCATAAAGTTTTTAATTTAAAAACTTTTCACCACCGTGAAAATTCAATTTAAAAAATACAAGGGAAAGAATACGATAATAAAATGTACGTTTTAGACGTGCGGATAGAACAAAGCAGAGATTTTTAAATCTGGGCTTCGTCAGGGTGGACGTATGTTCTTTTTTGGTGCGGCGTTCCTAAAAAATAACGTTGTTTAATGCTCGCCAGGCACTCTCCCGCTGTCCAAGTGCACAGTTGCGGAAAATAAAGCACAAATTTGAGTGAAATTATTTCCAACGCTAAATTTTCGCACCAAAATAAAACCAGCCGACAACGCCGCCGCCACCGCCACCGCCACCGACGCCCGAAATAGTCAGCTCTCGCTTTTCGCATTTGGGGTTTTTGAGGCTATTTTTTAAACCAAATTAACACCTCGGTTTTTACTCGTGCTTTCATTTCGAGATGTTATATTTCATTCTCTTCTATACACTTTTTATTACCTACGAAAGTGTCAGATATAAAGAGATTTGTTAATGCGGTGTGGTTATCCTCCACTTCTATGGCAAAGTGTATACGAAGCAGATTGAAAAGATAAAACGACCCCTTTGCCGAATGCGATCCTTAAACTCGCGAGGCAACAGTTTTAGAATATTGTTCGCTGGTATAACGTCGAGTTTGGCCGACACGCACGGTA